GGTAAGGAATAGATGTGAATGAAGTTTTACTCAACAAAGTTGTCTATGAGATCATTGTATGCATATTTCGTATAAGGTATAAATATCATTCAACGAGCTATTTATGGTTTTAATTGTAAACATTAATTAAATAAATAGCAATAAGTTATTACTGATAACGGATTTACATTAAATGACAATCTGATAGCTGTTTTCCTGTGGAGAAAATATTTTTAAATTTCAAACGGATTTGCTTTTATGAAAACAATAATTTGATTTCCTATTAATTATATTAGTGTTGAATGTAAGGAATATTTCAAATATTTTATACAGAGATCTATAGATTCTAAAGCCATAACTGTATGCAATACTAACTTATAAGTGATTTTTAGTGAATTGAAATTTTAGGCCTAAAACTTTTTAGTGTAACTTTACCTTGATAACTTATCAGTGATAACATTAGACCAGTTTATTAGATTTCACATTACATGTAAATTTTTGTGAGTTTATTCGGTAAGAATCTAAAATTTCATCAAATAATTCACTATTATTTTACATGAATTTTGTGAATGATTTGTAAAACATAAAAATAAAATAAAAATAGCCACTAATTTATTAGTAAACATAATAATACCAAATTAATATGCAGTCTATCACAAATTATTAGTCTTGGTTGTCCTGTATTAAGGCATAATATACTAGTTGTCTAATTGAATTAAGAATTCCCCTCAACTATGTTGTAACAGTGAGTACACAATTAACTTTTAAATTGTTAAAAGACTACTAGTTGACTGTTAATTCACTTAATAATACATGATTAACCGCCAGTCCATTATAATCATATAGCTTTTAAAGGGATGTTCGCACTCAAGGTAAGTGAGTGAGACCTTAGGTCGTTAGATAGTAAATGTACTTAATGTTACAAAAATATTATCACATTTCTAGCAATGATAAGTTAAGTGATTTATAATTCCATTGCACTATAAGTACTATAAAAATCCCTTTTAAATACCAAACATTGGGCACAAGTAAATTGCGTTAAAAACAATTTCTATAACTTGTGATTGAATTGAAGTTTATTTTGTAAATTGAACTTAAAATGAATTGTTTTATCAATTCTGTAATTGTAATAATTGTCTCACTGTTTCTTAATGTAACAGAGTTTAGATGCAGTGATGAGTTGAATGTTGAGCACAAATACAATGGTTTTAAGACAACATTTGAAGGCAAAGAACTGGACGTATATTTGGGAATCCCTTTCGCCGAACCACCGATCGGTGACTTGAGATTCAGAAAACCCAAACCATACAAATGGGACGGACAGGTGATCGACGCGAAGACATGGCCTAACAATTGCATTGAAGTGGCTTTGATGCCAAACAATAGCGAATGGTTTCGTCAAAACAGCGATGTTTGGAGCGAAGACTGTCTTTATCTCAATATATGGTCGCCTCAGAGAAAGTCTAGTTATACTCAAAGACCTGTATTGGTTTGGATACACGGCGGAGGACTTATAGCCGGTTCGTCCACTCATGAGCTGTCAAATGGTGAGGCGTTGGCGGCGTTGGGAGATGTGGTGGTCGTCTCAATACAGTATAGACTACACGCGTTGGGATTCCTGTACAGCGGCACCGATGAGGCGCCCGGAAATGTGGGGCTTTGGGATCAGGCAATGGCTCTCCAATGGATTCAAGACAATATCGCTCACTTCGGCGGCGATCCAAACCAAGTGACTATCTTTGGCTGCTCTGCCGGCGGATGGTCTGTAAGTCTACACGTGTTGTCTCCCATTAGTAGAGGTCTATTCAGAAACGGTATTGTGATGTCGGGCGCAGGGATTGTGCACCAAACCGGCCAAAGTCCTCAACAATCTCTACAAAATTGGTTAAAAGTGGCGAAAGCGGCCAAATGTGGAGACGGAAAACAATTCACCGATAAAGACATGGAGTGTTTGCGTCAAATACCGGCCCAAGAGTTGGCTCAAAGTTACAGTCAACCGGAAATGACAAGCGATTGGATGGGAATTATGGCAATCGTCACATACGGCGATCAGTTTCTACCCGAAAGACCACTGGATATGTTGGAGAAGAAGAATTTTAAGAAAGATATGTCACTTCTGGCCACTACTTGCGAGGACGAGGGCGGGCTATTCCTTCCCCGTCACGTTAATATCGAGTATTTTATACCACATTCTGAAATAAAACTATCCAAAGAAGAGGCGATAGAGATATTGAAGAACATATCAAAACAAATAAAGTCCGCCATTCCGGTCAATGTTGAAGCCGGTGCTCGACTTTATATGTCTTCGCTTCCATCACATGATAGTGAACTACTTTTGAGAACTATTGGTATAGCGATGGGAGACTTCCTTCTGGTTTGTCCGACAAAACAGTTTGCGAAAGCGGTCTTCAGTGACGGAGAGACCAATAATAAAGTATACGAATATCACTACACGAGTGCAGCCAAACCAACCCCAGGAAAGCATTACTGCAGCAAATGGATGGGTGCCTGTCATTGCATGGATAATATTATGCAATTTGGTTATCCTATAAGACATCCTGAAGGATATTCCGACCAAGATATTGCTCTGTCCAGAAGAATGATTGACTCACTTGCATACTTTGCTAAACACAAGTAAGTGTTGTCTTTATAAAGGATTTATAATCATTTTTTAACCCAATATTTTCATATTTATAGTGAACTTCCGCCACAAGAAGGTATTGAATGGCAATCGTATTACACATTGAATGGAGATGTGGTTCGACCCCATTATGAGTGGGCGATCGCACCCAACGCTGGACTCTTCAAGAATGCACTCAAAGAGACTGAATGCAAGTTTTGGAAGTATTATATCGATAGACAATGAATTCATAAAAATAAGTGTTTTATTAATCATTAATGAGAGTAGTTTCATGTGTTTTAATTAATAGTATTTCGTTCGCCAATTCACAGGTTTTGACATTAGTTTTGTTATTTACTTATTTTTATGTATAGACAGAATAAAAAATAAAGTAAACAAATAATTTTTAATTTGATTGTATTGACAGATATAATAAAATTATTGCGAAATAAAATCATAATATTGTTATTGTGTTAATATTAACCGCTAATTTGTACAGACATTGTGATCACTGATTAGATATAATACTCGAAAATATATTAAAACATATTTATATCACAAATTTATTTCCATATATTTAATGGAAAAATTTAGGACAATATAAGAGGCGGCGATGAGGGCTGATCGCAATGGGGATCGTATTCACCGCCGTCTTCAACATTCATGTTTCGGATCACATCCTTAAGAGCCAACGGAATCATTGCCAAGAAGTAGAAGCCAATGGAAATAACAATGGGTGGTATGAATGGCGTGAATATCACTTTTGAAGTTAACACCAGGAATATAATGGCGCCAACTATTGTGACCAACGACATGATAAACAGAATGCCCATGATCACACCAAACGTGGTCAAC